AATAATCTGTATTGACACATTTGGAAGTTTCACATCTTTTTCCACTTAACATGCTAACGTGATAATTGCCAGAGTGATGATTTTTTCCAGTGACACGTCTCCCTTCGTCAATATTTAGACCTGTGTATAGAAAGCTTATCTAACACACCTGGCTAATTTTCACTTCATTTAAAAATAAATGGAACATGTTTAGCTTTTCGAGTTAGAACAAAAAAAGGGGGGTGTCTCATAAATAATGTTCTCAAAACACTTATATGATAAAAAGAAATTTTAAAAATTTAAAATGTCTTCACTTATTCCATCAAATTTTAAATCTTAGTTGAAATATGATTTAAGATCATCTTACAAATTAGGAGGCTTTTAGTTTTAATAGGGAAACTCAAAAAAGTAGTTTGGTATTCAGAATCTTTGATTAGGATTTGGAAACTTTGTAAAACTATTCCAGAGTTTGGTTTATGTTTGGGGACATACCACTTGTAACCAGTCACGCAGAAATCAGTGTAACATGACTTCTGCAACTCAGAATTATTAATATTGATTGTACTATCTTAGAAGATTTTAATTTATTGTATAAAGATTACTGTCACCCAAACTCTCTATAACAACTGATATGTTTTTTAAGAAGAAAAGGAGAGAAAAGATACTTAAATCCAACTACCCAACTGTATTTCCTCCTGACTCAGTGGGTGGTCTACACTTCCCTCCTAGTCATCAGTTATGAGAGCCAGAATTTCAGTTTAGCATATGAATCCCTTTGGCTGCCAGCACCCAAGGTCCTTGTCAGCAAGATAAAGTGGAGGGTGCTAAGAACTGGAAATACTTATTTCAAAAAGCTGAGGTCAATGGAGAACTTAAACTGTTTTCTGATTGGTTTGTCATCATCGTGCCTTGGGAGGTTTTGATGTTCCTTTCTCTCCCCCTTCTTCTCTTTTCATAAAATATAATTGCTGTTTTAAAATGTTAGTCTGTTTTTCTTCTCTAAGGAGAACCGCACTGACAGTAACTGGGTTAACTGTATGGCTAGGTTTTTCTGGTTTTCAAAGAATGCTTCAAAAGTGTGGAAAAAAGAGCTTTTCCTCTTTTATGGCTAACAACTGCCCAGCCCCCTAATTTGCTGTCCTGTTGCATTGGAGTTCATTATCTTTGTATTACAGTTTAGTCATTCTGCTTGAGTATCCATTCTTTCATTCTCATGAATTCTTGCTGAAAATGGCAATAAAAGTAACACAGCTGAAGCTTGCATACAAACTGAAGACATAATGAGAATAGTGCTTTCATAGGAATTCTATCCTGCGTGATGGGTTTCATTGGCAAATATACAGAAAGAAAAGAATGCTTAAAAGTCTACTGAGATCTCTTCCCTCACCTTCTCTTTTTCCTATTTTGATTGTATAATAGAACACATCATTTTTATCTTTACTTGAAAATTTTGAGTAATGGCCTAAGACATCATTGAAAATGATTGTTTTGTTGAGTTAAACAGTGGTGTTTTGCAAATTCATGTTTTAAGTTATAGAATAAGGTTAGAATGTGATGTTAAAGCTAGGTACAGAGATCAGCAAAATAGAATAGAGAGCCCAGAAGTCAGTACACACACACAAACACACACACACACACACACACACACACACACAGAGCCATTGAAGCCAAGATAATCAAAGGAGAATGGAAAGTCTCATCAGCAAACAATGTTGAAAAAAGAGAAAGAGGAATGAAGAAGAAAAAGAAGGAGAAGGAGAAGGAGGGGAAAGAGAAGGAGAAAGAGGGGAAGGAGAAAGAGAAGGAGAAGGAGGGGAAGTAGAAGGAGAAAGAGAAAGAGAAGAAGGAGGAGGAGAAGGAGGAGGAGGAGAAGAAAAAGAAGACAATGACTGTTTAACAGCACACACATGTAAATATTAACTCAATATAGATAAAAGACTTGGTTATAAAACTGTAAACCATAAAACACACAGATGAAGAAAAGATGAAATACTCCTGGGATTTTTGTTGTAGAAAAAGCCTGTGCAGGGCTAAAGTTGTTAGGCCCTCTTTGGAGACTGTTTGCCCTGCACTGGAAAGACTTCAAGTCAGAGAATAGTCAAGTACTTCTTAGAGGTCAGTAGATACACAGAGTCAAAGTGTCTGTGTACTGATAGCAATGAGTGGTCTCACCAGGGGGCTCTCCTCTTTTCTGTGGTGCTAACACACATCTGGCAACATTGCAGCTACAAATTGCTTATGGCAAGGAGGATGATGGACTGCAGAGCTCCAGAACTGATCTTGGCACATATGATACCCCCAGGGTATGACCTTATGGTCATATGTTTCTCAGGTGGGCACTCTAGGCCATTGCTTGATTCTTTCCAACCTATTACAGCCTTCTTTACAATGACTAAAATAAGGTCACTGATAAATGGTTATTGGATAAAGACAGTATGGCTAATTTATACTGTGGGTATTATTTGGCAATAAAAAGATGAAAATTGAAGGTTGGAATAGTTCCATGGTTAGAGAGCATTAGCTGGGGTTTGATTTCTGATACACATGATTTTCCAAGCATTGCTGGGTGCAGTCCTGGAGGCCTGTAGAACTGTCAGGATCTTCCAGGTAACCTCTGCATTACAGGGTCTCATCCTTGGGCACTGGCTTTGAACTAATGGCCCAGTTGGCCAAGAATCCTCCGTTGGGCCCCTGGATTTCCTGAGAAACACTTGGAAGACTTTTATCCTCCCAAGCCCCTTTAACCACTCCCTTCCCCAAGAAAACTGGCCCATCACAGCAAGATGGGAAAAACGTGAAGGAATTATCTTAAGCAAAATGAATGAAAAGGAAAAAGCTAAGTATTGAATGAGTTCACTCATGTGTACAATATAAGGATATAAAGTTGATGGACAGATAAAATAAACCAATGGGCATTAACAATAACATTAAGATTATGGAAATCGTAGGGGAGAGGGAAAATGGGCAGGAATAGAAATAGTAGAGGGAATATAGAAAATGTGGTGGACTTTATTTGTAAAAAAAACAACAACAACAAAATGACTGGAGAGATAGTACAGTGGTAAATTGCTGCTATTATATATGGCTGACCCAGTTTTGATCCTAGCACTGCATATGGTCTCCTGTGTCTGGCTAGGAGTGAGTCCTGAGAGCAGATCTAGGAGTAAGCCCTGAGAAGAGCTGAGTTTGACCTTAACACGCCCACCCCCAAAATAGATTTCTACTAAATAAATTTTAAAAAGTAAGAGTAAACCTGCCTTTTATAAAATTCTAGATTATACACATGTATGAGTAAGACAAATCAATGAGGCATAGAATATTCATGACATTCCAATGAAGAGAGAGGTCTTAGAGGAAGTGATTTCCTGGAGCTAAGGTATTACCCAGATTCTAACCATACTTGGTCATGTCTGGGGTTGCCATGGCGATTGTAGACTTCATGGCATGTGCATGTTTTTTTGCTATGCAAATGTATTATAATGAGTATATAATGAAGCATGAAGTCATCCGTTGGGCACTAGGTCCTCCCTCTTCAATTTCCTTGGCATCTACTGATCTGAGGTTTCAATAGATCTCAGGCCTCATTATTCTCACCTTCTGAAGTGTTCAGCATTTATAACACCAACACATTAACACTAACAAATAAACTTATTTGGCAAAAACATATTAAGCTTTCTAGAATTATATGTGATATGGAAAAGAGATATAATCAAAGATGGGAACTAATCAAAGATGAAAAGGGGTGATCAATGTTGACATGTAAAAATTGTCATTTTATTATAGGCAGAAAAGAATGTAGCCCAAGAGAGTAGCAGATATGATTGTTAAATACTGTGGTGCCTGTGTAAGAGAATATTCTCCCACAAAAAAGGGAGATTTTACTTTTACCTTCTTGCACTCAGCTAATTTGTACGTCATACTTACACTGTCTGCTTTCTTTTCTCAGTTCAATCTTGAAGATAGTTTTGAAGATTCAGTTCCAATGACAAGGAAAATGAAAGCAAAAATAAATGAAATTACATCAAATTGAAAAGTTGGTATATAGCAAAAGAAAGTGTCACAAAACAAAATAATAATATGAAAATAGGGAGAAGGTAATTTCTATATCATACATCATATCATACAAGGGGTTAATACCAGAAATATGTATAACACTCCTACAATTAAACGACAACAAAACAAAACAATCAAAATAATGAGTAAACACACTTTCCAAAGAACAATGAGCGAATACTTCTCTAAAGAACACATACAGATGGCCCACAAACACTTGCAAAAGTGGTCAATTTTATTTAATATGAGGAACACGGTAGACACGGTCCTCCTATTGTTCATCGATTTGCTCGAGCGGGCCCAGTAACGTCTCCATCATGAGACTTGTTGTTACTGTGTTTGGCATATCGAATACCACACGGGTAGCTTGCCAGGCTCTGCCCTGCGGGCAAGATACTCTCGGTAGCTTGCTGGGCCCTCTGAGAGGGGCGGAAGAATTGAACTCGGGTCGACCCTGTTGGCTGCTTATAAGGCGAACGCCCTACCACACAGCGGGTAGGGCGTTTGCCTTACATGCAGCCAACATGGCCAACACAGGTTCGATTTCCAGCACCCCATTTGGTCCCCTGAGCACCGCTAGGAGCAATTCCTGAGTGTATGAGCCAGGAGTAACCCCTGAGCATTGCGGGGTGTGACCCAAAAAAGCAAAAAAAAAAAGTGGCAGGCTAGGTTACAAGTGGAAGTATAATATGAGGAAAACATAAATAAAAACTACAGGGGCTGGAGTGGTAGTTCAGCAGGAAGTGTGTTTGCCATGCATGCAGCTGACCAAGGTTCGATCCCTGACATCCCACATGGTGATTCGAGCACCAACAGGAATAATTCCTGATTGCAGAGCCAGGAGTAACCCCTGAACATTGCCAGCTGTGACTTAAAAGTCAAGAAAAAAACAAAAAATAAACAAACAAAACTACAATGAGATATCACTACAAAAGCATAAGAGAAAAATAGCCTATATTTAAAAAAAAGACTGGAAGCATATGGCAGGCGTGTCCCCCTGGGTCTCTCATAGTTTTCCATGCCAGAGCAAACTGTGGCCCCAAACCATTGTCAGACCTTTGCCAGTTGACTTTGAACATTGAAGTGGGTTGTACAGTGAAAGCACACGTGCGCAAAACACACACACACACACACACACACACACAGTATTATATTAATTTAGTAGTTAGCTTATTTTGAAAGTGATTAAACATAATGGTTCTCACATTTTACAAAACAATAAATAAATAAATAAATTAAAGACTGGAAACAATAAATGGTGGCACGAGCATGGAGGAAAAGAAACTTCCCCACACTGTTGTTGCACATGCAAATTGCTATAACCCCTTTTGAAAATGATATGACAAATATTTGAAAACTGAAAATGGAAATGCCATATGATCTAGCAATGCCATCTTTGGGCATCTATGTGAAAGATATGAAACATTAATTTGAGAATATATTCATACCTTTACATTCATGACTGTATGGTCACAATAGCCAAAATATGAAGTCAAGGTAAATGCCCCGTAGAAGCTGAATGAGTAAAGAAGCATGGTACACTTGATGGAATACTACTCAACTATTAAAATAGATATAGTATTTTGTTTCTGTTTTTTGTTTTTTTAGTGTCAAACTCAGTAGGTTCTTAGGGATGACCTGTGCTTTCAGGTCAAACCCTGCAGTGCTCTGGGGACCATGCAGTGCCAGTAATTAAACACTGGTTTCAAGTGTGCAAGGCATGTGCTCCAGTTCTTTGAGATATCTCTCTTGCCTGAGAGATAAAATCCTTTTCTTAATCACAGGAAGATAAAAATAAGATAATTACGCTAAAAAATAAGTCAGAACATGAAAGATAATTATTGAATGATTTCACTCATATGTAAACTATAAACAGTCAAACTAACTGGCAAACACAACAAAATAACTCTTAGACTCTGAAAAATATGGTAGTCACTAGGGGGAAAAGGTACGAGCAATGGGGAGAGGGTGTCATTTTGATAGTGTGATGTCACTGAAAGTTTAGAGGTGGGAGTGAGGAGTCTGATACACAAAGAGATCTGAAGCTACAGTTTTAGATTTTTCTAACAGAGTACATCAAAGTTAAATGAACAAAGTTGAATTACAAAAATCAGCTCTGGGGGCTGGAAAGATAGCACAGCAAAAAAGCACTTGCCATGCACACAGTTGACCCAGGTTCAATCCCCCGCACCCCATGCCCTCCAACCGCCTCCCCCGAGCCCCACCAGGAGAGATCCCTGAGTACAGAGCCAGAAAGCCCCGAGTACTGGGAGTGCTCGCCCCACCTCCCCATCCCCTGTTCCAATCAGCTCTGAAGAATCTCGGCTATCAAACTATTTTTGTCAATAGTTAATAGAAAATGAAATGTTGTTTATTAAAAATGACATCAACTTATATTTCTTTTGCGAATATTAAGACCATGGATTTAACTAAGTCATTAGAATGATTGCTCTAAAGTCTATGTTATTTTTAATGAACTCGAATCATTGTTACATGGTAACAGAAAGAATGATAGGTGTTATTTTAGAGAATCTTCTCATAAAATATTTCAAAGAAAAGATTTGTCTTTCAAATTGCTGCTTTCATCTCATGGTACAGCTGGATCATAAGGTATTTCCTTTCTTGGTGTCTATTTTATCTTAGTTTTCTTCTTCCCTTTTGTTGTTGCTGTTGCTATTGTTGCGACAGCTGGCAGGGAAGGGTCACACGGTTTTTGCTATGGTATTAGTATACGAAGGAGACGGTGGTCTGATCCCGTTTGGAATTTTGGGACAACAGCAATATTGGTCAGGCAAAACCATTGATTGAATATGATGTGATCAACTTCATTGTGGAACTGTCTACCGGAGACTCCCAGGTCCAACGTTTAGATTTGGCCTACTGGAGCTGTGAGTTACCATGGATGGTCTTGGTCAACATAATGAACTCAGTCAGTCTCTTATCCTCTTTGTTCCATTCTAGGCCATGGGTCCCAATATGGAGTTTTTTGGGAGACCTTCTCAGTCCTATCTTGGTGTTAAAATCACTGACAATGGCCTTGTAGAAGGTGTGGTCTTCTTTTATAGAACTTCTCCAGCTCCATGTAGAACTTCTCAACTTCTTTGCCATAGTTGGATGTTGGTGCATAGACGATGAAGATAAAAACTGCTGGCAATGAGCCACATCTATTCAAACATAAGCGTCCGATTTGGGTTGTTAGGCATTCAAACGAACCAATGCTCATGGCCAAGTTCGTGTTGACGAGGACACCGACACCACCGACGCCTCTACTGTCGCATGTTCCGAGGAACATTTCTTCTCCAGTGTCGAAAACGGTGTGATATGATTGATGTCTTCTTGTCTCAGTCAATCCAGTGACATCGTATTTGGTCTTCTGCACTTGCACCATCAGGTACTTGATGGATGCTTCCTATGTCAGCGTATGTGCATTAAAAGTGCAGATAGTCATTTTAGTTCTTCTTCATTTTGGCAGCCTAGTTCGGCCCTGAGATTTTAGCAGCCTCTCCTTGTTCATCCTTCTCAATACTGCCTTATTGCGGGCTCTTCCAGGGTCAGGGGAATGAGGCACATTTTTGTTACTGTTTTTGTCATATCGAATATACCATGGGTAGCTTGCCAGGCTCTGCTGTGTGAGTGGCATGTTGTAACAGTCTGTGTTGGTTTGCTCTTCGGCGGTTGGCACCATTGCTGCCCTCTTGCCACGATGAGGCGGTGAACCATTGAATCGAAAGAGCTATGCTTGGAATATCACATTTCACTCAAGTGAGATAAGGAATCTGGAGTTCTGACCTCCATCAAAAATCAAGAATCGGGGACACTGTCTTGTTTGCCAAGGCATCAAAAGTCAGATGAGCTGGACATGTAATGCGACTTAGAGACGACTGCCAGACTAGAGCTGTTACCAACTGGATTCCACAGGAAGTCAAAAGAACACCTATGAGATGGTCAGACTTCTTCATCAAAACCCTGAGCAAATGGTTTGAGGCTCTTTATGTTCCTGGAGTGAGCAGGTGTCATTGGGATACACTAGAACATCCACTTGAGCAAATCGATGATCAATGGGATGACAAGTGATACAAGTGATTAGCATACAGTTTGGTTGTCATGTTCATGTTATTACATTTTGTGATACATGCACACTTGGTTGCAGTGTATCAGAAATCACACATGTAGAGACTCACAATTGAATCTCAGAACCGAGCAACTCCTTGCGGAGATGCCTCCAGGCCTTGAGCCAGGCTTATTTCACTGGATGCCTTAGACGGGAGCAGACTTTGTCCCTCTACCTGTCCCCTACAAACCTGGCAGCCTCAAACCTCCAGAACCAGTGAAAAACCCAGGTATGTGGGACCAGTGACTCCAAACTCCAGGCCTCAAGGGGATGGGTCGCTCCTTCCCATCTCCCTGTCCCTATGGGGTCTGACTGTCATGCCCACGAACTGCTTCTGGGTGTCATTTAAGTTCATTAACGGCCATGGTCCAGAGACTCACAAATGAATCTCAGAACTAAGCAGTTTGCTGCAGAGATTTCTTCAGACCCCAATTATTTAAAATTTTAGAATTTCAGGAGCATCTCATGCTATTCATAACAAGCAATACAAAATAAATTATCTATCATCTGCCTGTGGGGCAGGCTTGAGTAGTGGTGGGAAAAATGGAAATAATGGTGGTGGGAAGGTGTGATGGTGGTGGAATTGGTGTTGAAGTATTGAATGTAATCAGTTATTGTGAACAACTTCATGAAAATAAAATTTTAAAAAACTTTAAAAAATAAAGTTAATCAGAAAAGAAAAAAAATCACATACCTGATTTGTTGCACTGTGGAGCCCAAATGGCAATGTTGTTGTGATTACACTCAATATGAGAAGACAGTGAAGTGAGTCAGAAAGCAAATTATAAATACCAGATGACCTCACTCACATGTGGAGTATAAAGAAACAAATAAGGGATTTGATAAACTTCAGTGGAAACAAATCCTGAAACATGATTAACACAGCTATAAACTAGAGTGGGGAGGGACAGAGCCAGGAAGGAAAGGGGTACGGACCATGGGAAAATGATGGAGGAATCTGGAATTACAAGTACAGAGACTGGTGTGGTGTTCTGCAACTATCAAATATTAATTCTAATATCATCGCAAATTATGGTACCTCGATAAAAATAAATGTAAAAATAAAATATTTCTTATAAAAATATGAATGCTTGGACTAAACTATTTCTGGGGCAAGCTGATCTGAGTTGTTTGAGAGATAAGCTATTGGTTTCTATTTTGTCTAAAGGAATTTTCCTTGGAAAGTTCTATCTACTCATGCTTCAAATAGAATAGGATTGGAATATCATGTCAGCTATAGAGGAGAATAAAAAGTAAATAAAAGCATTTCTAGAAATAAAAATGTGGCATAATTTGATTGAATCAAATCATGTCAAATCCCAAGTTATGTTTTTTTTTTCTTTTTCTGGCAATGCACAGGGTTTACTCCTGGCTCATGCACTCAGGAATTACTCCTGGTGTGTTCCTGGGACCATATAGGATGCTGGGAATGGAACCCAGGTCAGCTTCATGCAAGGCAAATGCCCTATCCGCTGTGCTATCACTCCAGTCCCCCCAAGTTATATCTTGTTTTGTCTGTTTTTGTATTGCACGCAGCTGTGCTCAGGGCTTGTTCCTGGCTCTTCAGGAATTATCCCTGGGAATGTTTGCAGGAACATTGTATGCAGGGGATTGAATGTATGGAAGACAAGTACTTTATCTGCTGTGCTATTTCTTCAGTCCCATTTGCATATCTTAAAGCATGCTAAGTTCTCTTCTGGCTTTTTTTATTTATAAAAACATTGGGAAGAGCCCTCCCAAGTGGAGCTCAGAAGGCTCAAGTATCACTCCTAGTGGGGCCAGGGTCCTCCAAGGTTGTAAACATAGGTGCTGAGTCAGGTAGTTATACAGTGTTGGGATTAAATTCAGGTCCAAAACTCCTTCTACAAGGGCTGCTAAGTGCAGCAAGTTGGGCACTTGTCTTGCATTCCACCAACCTAGTTTGATCACTGGCACCCCATTTGATCACAACCTCCTCCGATCCACTGAGTTAGCTCCCTATCCATTC